TATATATATATACACACAGTACTTGTAGAGTAGGGGAAGGCAGAAACCCCTATCAGCTTTTATTTATTGCTGTCTGTGTCTATGTTGCAGATTGTCTCCCACTTCCTGTCTGATGAAACTGCTGCCACCAAGGACAGTAGATGAGAGGAAATCTTTCTAATGGAGTCCCGGATAGCAGTACAACCCGAAATAGGTTCTGATCCCACACTTTAATACCGAGTATTTACATTCCTGCCTAAGCCCACCATGACTGCTTCTCATTTAATGCTTTGTCATTGTAAGAAGACAAGGCATTCAGTGGCATTAAGTGATTTCAAACAACTCTTCCTGTAAAACTAATATTCAGCTTTTCCATCAGACCAGTGCTCCTCTTTAATATTCTGCATTTATATTGAAATAGTTCATGCCATTTATAATATCAAGAAAACATCCCTTATGAGTATTTCTTCATGTTGCTCTGATACCTACGCTTGTGGTGCCAACTGCCTTTCCCTTGTCAAGCTGTGCCAGAACTGCACCTGCTCTGCTTTAAACCATCTCCATCCGACATTTAAATAATTAATTGGAATGCTGTAATAACACGACTGTGTTGTAAATAATGCAAACATGCATTCTTTGTGATCCTGGCAGTTACATAAATAACATACTTTTTATCTTTTTCTAGCAGACAATGGCCTGGAGCACGCACACTAGTATTCCCGAGGATGCCAGCCAAAACTGACTCTGCTTTAGCACAGGAAAGAAACTTGCATAAGACAGGCTGATCTCAGAGGTTCTGCTACACTGAATCAGCCTCAGAATTTAACAGCCAGGTCAATTTCCCATCTACTCCTTTCAGTGAGTTTCAGTAAATCTTTGTAATTGAATTTTTAGAGGTAGAAATGTGTTGACCGCCATTTAACCAAACTTGCATGTCAGTTCAGTGGGAGCAGATACCGTGAAGATCATTTCACAACTCATTTATAACTTCAATAAGTACAAATGGTGCTCCTTTTCTTAATAACGGAGAAATACTCGTTTTCCGACAGGTTGTATAGCGACTTGATAATCTCCTTGAGTCTTTAGATGGGAATCTATGGATTTTAGTCAGCAAACCATGAGAACCATTAAATATTATTCTCACTTTGGCAGTACGAAAATAAATGTCATGAATTTTAATTTTAAGGATGGACAGGTTAATGGATAGCAAGAAGGATTGAAAACATGGATGGAAAGATGCATTAACAGGTAGAAAGATGGATTAATGAACTGATCGATGGATTAGCTGAAAGGTAGGTAATTGGATGTAAGGATAGATGCATTGCGTCAGACAGGATGGATAGAAAGATGGATAGATACGGTATATATCTAGACGGATAGATATTTGTATGGATGGGTGAATGTGGTATACTGGTTTTCAGAGCAATATAGTTGGAACAGTTGTTTTTCAATGTCACATCTAATTCATCGCATTCAAAATATCCATTTAACTTACCTGTGAAACCAATATAACTCAAATTACTTACACTTATCTTCACTATAACCCCTAACACTAAGCATTACCATGAGCACGATCCCTAATCCTGAAACTCACTGTTAATGTCAACCTAATCCTACACCTAACTCTTAAACTAACCTCTGAAATTACTCCTAAACCTAACCAATAATTCAATACCTATGCTCAAAGTAAACCTGTGCAGGGCAAAGCAACAGGTTTACTCTAATGTGAGCTCCTGTGGCAACAAATACTGACCATCCTTTTGCGGTCCTTACAATTTAATTTTTTCTACAACATGTTTTTACATTGATTATACATTTCACATATATGATGACAGACACATACCTTATAAAGGTTATGGATTTGCAGGCAGTTGTACATGCAAAGGAGGTGAAAATGTTGGGGTAATTCATATAAAAGTGTGATAGTTTTTATATATATGAATATATATATATATACACACATACAGAGTCAGTAGTACCTAACTTCACTTTAAGTGTGAGAAGATGAGAACATGTAACCTGTTTATAATCTTCCTAGGGGTATTCAATCCATTTGGTACTGTACACATTCTTCAGTGCGTTGTAATGGTTGTAAATATAGCTAAGGGGAGAGATTTATTGCCATTGGACAAGAAAAAGTGAATTGACCAAAGCAACCACATATAGATACCTTAATTTCTCTACAGTACATGTAAGGCATTCAGCAAAATCGGTGAATATTGATACACTGCCGAGAGATGACGAGAGTCTGTATGCTAAACAGAGGACTTGTATTCAAATGTTTTCTAAAAGCAAAGTGAGGTCTGTATGACTTTTTAAACCTTTGAAAGTTAAAGTCCTGCCTAAAATCAGATGTTACAAGAAGCATGCATTTGTTTTTATTAGTTAGAAAGCATCTTCTGTGCCCCTATCTGGTTTGGCATCACTTTATTTCTGTGGCCTGACTTTCCCTGACTTCAGAATTAAACACCGACACCGGTCAACAACTTGCCCTTTGAAGATGCCCTTACTGGCCACTCCTTCTAACTGGTCAATGGAATGGCAACTGGCAGCATTGATCCTTCAAATGAAGGATGTAACAAAGTTACATCCCATTTCCCCCTTTGGAGAGCTATTTTTGAAAAAACATATGCTAGCAATGTACACCGAGTAAACATGAAGCAGCATTTGCAGTTAATGTATATGAACACAGAAACGTACGTTTCTTGTTAGCTTTGAAACTGTCACACGTCGGCTCAATAGATCGGGAAGTGAGCAAACACATAACGTCTCTCGCTCACTTCTCGATCATCTCCAAAACGCACCACCAAAACGCATTGGTGTGAACCGAGCCCATTCACGACAAGGCTATTTGCCCGATCTTGCCTTCGAGCTGCAGTGGAAAAAACAGCCAGCACAGCCTGACAGCAGAGAGTGTGAATGAGCCCTTACAGGGGGGTGAAGGGAGGGGATAGGGGGGAGCCCAGAGATCAGCTATAATGGGGGGTTTTCATGCAAAGAAACCATTCTCAAAATTAAAAAAAAGACACAAAACACAGTTTGTAATTTACCAGTTGAGTTTTTTTCTCTCTCGATATACTGAAGTACAAAACGTGAACTTAAAAGCAGAATAAAATTATGTGAGGTGACAGAGAGGGAGAGGAATTCAGAAAAAGATTATCAAAAATATCTGTTTCATCTCAAGGAAATTCTGTTAAAACTACTAAAAGCACCTTGCCGAGACGCCACCGATGGAAGCCATAATTTCCTACTACCAGGCTGCATACTAGCTTTCCTAGTAAAGCTAAAGGAATGCTTTACTGAGCCAGAACAATTTTGCTGCCTGGAAGACAGAATGGCAGCAACTATCTGACTTTTCTCACACAGGTGCTGTACTCCGTGACCTATTTTAGTGTCCCTTCTGGCTACGGTAGGTAGATTTGCAAACGGCCACCGAGACTGGCACATGTGTGATAATTGGCCTGAGGTACCAAAACTGGAGGAAGGAAAAGTGTTGTTCCCATAACCACCAAAAAGTCAATCAATTAGCTGAAAGCTTGAAGAGAACCTGTTGCATTACGCATTCAGGAGAACAGACCCCTCCCTCCACCTTGGATACTTACCCTCACTACGGTCCCCCAACGCTCTATTTGAACCCTTAGTAAATGCCTGGTATGCAGTGGCCAATCACCATTCCCGAATACCCCATAGTTCTCTTTTAATGAATAAGGAGCTGCATTATTCAGTGTCTTTTATACCTGCCTGGAGTTCAACATTTCATATGCTGCATTTCAAACCAACTAATGAAAATGTCAAAAGTTATTTTTTTTTCTTTAGTTCCAGATTAAGACTTTGGGATGTAATTGAATCAACAAAATGTATCACAAAATATGTTGGGTGGAATGATTCAGAAATTACTGTAAGGCCATATAATTCATAATACATACAGGACATTTCATTTTCAGTTTTACCCATGACCTTTGTAATAAATTTTGTTCTGATAAATGAAAGAAATAAGTAACACATAATTCACAAAAGAAAGATTGATAATGCAAAACATAATAATGAACAAAGAAAATGTATAGCAAAATCAATAGTGAAGGCCAAATACATTCCAGGTTGCCTGTATCATAGTTTTAAAAATGCATATAATGGAAGCGCATGTCTGGGCAAAATAAATAAAATATACAGTATATCTATGCAATATAATGTACAAGTACATGAGGAGAAGACAGCAATTAGCTTTGCTAATTGAACAGCTAAAAGTCCGAAACAGTAAGGGGTGTCAGATCACTACAGAGAGGACTGCTGCTCTCACTTAAGGCTTAGCATTCTAGCTATACAGCATACTGCAAGGCACTTTTCTCCTAGGGCAAGGAGGCACTTTTCTCCTAGGGCAAGGAGGCACTTTTCTCCTAGGACTGGCTGGCCATTTATAACGAAAGCACACAGATTTCATTCAGGCAGTGTGGACAGAAGCTTCAAGTGGGCTGTAAGTGTGTGTGTGTGTGTAAGAATGGGTACAGGGGGCATCAACGACTCCATGATTAGCAGCAGACCTTGGCAGTGCAGGGTGTGCCTCCATATAAGGTTGGCTAATGGGCATTGTTTTTAATTCACTTATAATATATTGAAATAATCATAAAGCATACAAAATTGTCCTGAAATTAAACACCATTTAACATGGCCTTTGCTACTTTTCTTTGCCTCATATAGCTAAAAGGGTGTGATGCAATGGGGACAAAGCCCAATTAAAGTCTTACACCTTTTATCCCTTTACAATCTTTTACCCGATGTATGCAAATATTTTTACAAATATTTGATTGGAAGTGCTTTAAAACATAATTTTAACTTTTTCATTGAAAATTATACTTCCTTCTCTCCCACTCTAGTGCTCTGTGCTGGCAGAGCTCAATAACAGCCACATCCCTATGCACAAGTGTTCTCTCACAGACTTGTATTGCAGAGAATGGGATGTGTTGTGTCTGACCAGGTTTGTGTGAATTACTGAGGGAACTGGGTTTAAACATGGTGCTTATTAAACTGCATGCATCATATTCAGACACCCTGCAGAACTGCTTTAACAGGAGGAGGAGTGGAGGTAAAGCCATGAAATTAAAGAGTGTTAGTACAATGTGTATCTGATTGCATATCTATCTCTGTGACTTCAAATGAGTTTTAAATGTCAGTCCACCACAAAACTGATATTGACTTTTTTGTATATGCTGAGGTTAAACAACCCAACAGCTCATTAGATAGCTCAGTAAGATCTCTGTTCCTCAGTTTCCAGGTCTTCATAAGGCTGCAGGAGACATACGTGGACATACTCCTGGTATACAAGGCATGAGACTTCAAGAAGGCAGAGCTGGGAACTACATCAGGACTATCTTCCTCCAGACAGTTACAGGGTGACTTGCCCTACCAGACTGCATCTATAACCGACCTAAAGGTCAATACAATGGGCTTTTGGAGTCTAATGCATTTTATAAGCAATAATCCAACAGGCTGATAATGGCTCTGGGCTCTGCTGAATTGGTTTATTGATCTGTGGATGTTGTGAAGAGGATTTTCAAAAGTCCAATCATCTCTACCAACATGCCAAACCCTAAGGGTCCAAAAACTGATATTTAGGAGTTAACTGGAAAGTGAGACAGAATTGTTGGTTGGAGTGTTCATTACTCATCTTTTGACATTAATAAACACTGTCTGAATTTCATCAGTTCCCCAAACAGGCTGGTTAAATAGACCAGATCTGAAAACATTGGGAATTATTGGGAATTAGTGTATAACAAATGTTATAATGTTAGAAGATGGCTCTGGGAATTTTTTTTTCTATCTCTGAACAGGTTAAGAAGAACTTTCTTCCTGCAGTGAGGCTAAAGGAAACATATATAAAAAGAATATATCTACATCTACATCTGAAAATGTCAGTTACCTGGTTGCTATGCTGATTCGTTTGCTTTAATGCTTGAAGCATGTAGATCAGTACTTCTGATTTTCTAATCTGCATTGTCTTTGTTCCATGTCACTGATTTAGAATGAATTGCAGCAGCAGAAAGCCGGGCAACTAGCATTTTCTTGAAGGAGTTAAAAGTTGCACCCTCCATATTCCTTCAATAAAAGATTCCTTTATATTGGCAACTGCCTTACTTGGCTTTCTTTTCTTCAATGAAAGCCCTTTTTTTTGTTCGTTTGTTTCTTTTAACTTTTGGCATTATTTTGCTTACAACATATGTAAGATGATTATTAAAAGAAAAAAGAAAAAATATTACCTGGAATGGATAAGAACTATTGATATGCAGGACCTTCTTTAACCATCGGTTGCCCTTATTCCCAAATGCCTGCCACAATAACAGGCCTCTGGAGTTCCTCAGGGTTCGCTTGTAGATTGCCAAGGAATAGATCTGCTTTCCGAACATGTGGTAATGAAAGCGAAAAATGCAGGTTTTATTATCGTTGTTGATGGTGGCATCTATTTCAGGGCTCAGTAGAACAGCTTGGTTCCTGTACATTTGAGGCTCTGAAGTCTCAATGTAGAGATAATGTCCTCGAGCTGTGCCCAAAGTATGGTCCTTCATAGGTCCAGTGTCTTGAGTCGGAGTCTGGCCTTGCTGTCTAGTCCAGTCAAAGTTGTCTTCCGTGTCTTGTGCCCAGTTACATAGTCCATCTTCAAAGTCACATTGTAACTCAGAGGCTGAAAGGAAATGTGGGCATTAGATATAGTTAGAAACTCTTTTGTAGATTATTTGCCTTTGCCGTGCCACTAGCCTGCTTTTTGGACTACTTATGAATATCACCACCATAGTTGGACTGACCATGAACTTCATCATATCACCCATCATCTTACTGTGTTAGTGTTGAAGCCAATCCCCCTGTTCCTGTGGAGCCACTTGTATGTGAGGCCCAGGCTGTTGTTGAACTGTAAAATGACAGAACCTGTATTGACCACAAAGGTTCAAGCATTTGACAGCTGAATGACAGAGAGTGGTATCAGAGGGGTGGGATCAGTTTCAACATGAAAATACACATGGCTCCATGAGGATAGGGGGTGTTATGTTAACACTAACACAGGTATTTGTAGACACCGCAAGCTGTCTGGACTTCAGCAATTGTTACTTTTATGGCAGGGGAAAGGTTCACTTTAGATGCAAAAATGTTAATGTTTATCTGGAGTGCACTTTAATATAACTTTTCTATAATGAAGCCTCTCCAGTTCTACCATAATATATGTTTACTTAACAGCCCTATCTCTGTAAGAACATCAAAAGACATACTCCATATTTTTGTAACCAAAGTGCTGGGCATCTTTACAATCATCATCATATTTATCAAAGGGATATATCCATGTTAATGTGAGATAAGAGATATAGGAAATTACACAGAGGAGCCATTTTAGGGGGCCGGTCTTTAAACATTTAGTAAACTAGGTGTTAAACAGATTACAGACAAAAACTGTAAGTATTCATTTGTCACATATATTTGCAATATGAGCTGTTTATTAATATACACTTATTCTAAACAAGACATAAGGATGGAGTGATTAAAAGGACATAATAAATGAGTCTAAAGGGTTGTGGCCCCAAGGAATTCTTATGTTAATCTCTTAATGCAAAACTATAGTATTTTTCTTTTCAAATATGCAATTGTATATTATCAGCTTGATGTAAATAATGTCTTAAAATCAAGTTTCTATGTATAGTGTCTAAATATACAGTTTTGTGTACAGGTGCAGCCATATTTGTTTATTAATAATCACAGCACGAGTTCATATTAAAGTGGACCTATACACAAAATGTAAAGATGATGCTGTGTTATAGGGACTATATAGAAGGGTGTTTAAGCATTACCATAAATAAATCTATATGTTTGCCCTGTATTCCTCCTAAAAGTAGGCAGTGCTCTTCTTGTGACTAGACACTCATATGGCCTAATTAGATTTGAAGTGAGATTTGGTGATGTCCCAACTGTGTTGCTCACTGTTCTCCTTGCTGGTAAGATAGCTGCATCTGAAGAGCAAGGAACTCACTGCTTCTAACTCATTCATTCTATGTATCTGTGCCACAAGCAAGAAAAGTCCTGCTCCTCTTCTAAGATGACTACCTCCATACACTGCAGCATATGGAATGGAACATCAATAATGGCCAAAAGATCAGCTTCAAGGGGCCAAAAATTAATATCGGTGACTGAACCTTTGACCTCCACGTGCTTTTTTTTGTGCAAATCTTCAATAATTTGGTTTTCCTGAAGCACCAGTTGATTAGCCATATGAATGTTTAGGCTGCATATTCCTGTTCCTTTCCATTACAGCCTCTATTTTGTCTCTCAACCAAAGTTAAAGGGTTAGTGAGAGAGAGAGAGAGAGAGAGAGAGAGAGAGAGAGAGAGAGAGAGAGAGAGAGAGAGAAAAGGTGCACAGCTGAGACTCTTGAGAAGGGA